AGAACAACACAAAGAAACATGTTAAGGAAGATCAAGAACGGAATCAAAAGTACAATTTTTCAAATAGATTCACATGTCACGACTCAAGAAATTGGGGAGGACTTGTGTTTGGATATTGAACCCCGACCTATTATTATTGCAAAAGTTCAATACAATAGCCCACTGGTATGACTCATTAAAGTAGAAATATACCCCATCCCCTTACTCTTTAAATACGAGGGGTTCCCTCTAATTTAGGGTATCCTCTTGTAACTTTCTTCTTCTCCATTTCTCTCCCATCTCATTAGAATACCTTTAAAAGAGTGTTCGCTCGAATTTAGATAGATAATTTCTCATGATTTTCACCTTTTCGGGATTGCACATAAAAATCAAGTGTTTAAATATTTATCAGTATTGAAATGTAATTTTGAATTGAAATTAACCTCAACAAAGGAACATATGTTTTCCATTACAATTATAATTTGACAAGCTCAGACTCATTATATATGAAAGTAATAACTTGATATCATTTTGAATATCATTTTTTCGCATTTCAAAATTTTAATTTAAGTTCAATCCGAGTTTAGAGTTCAAGCAATTACCAATTCAAGCATTACTAGAGAATTAAGTTAATCATGATAATCAGTAGTGTCCGAACTCAGATGGAATCCAAGCTGGGTCAAATATAACGAGTCTTGTTCCGGTCACTAATTCATAATCAAGATCTAATGAGTAATTTTCAAATTTAGCAAAACCGGTCTCACCCTTAGAACTTAGAAGGCTAATGTTTTGCACTACTTATTACTTCCTCCGTAACATTCATATCTTATCACTTTCTTTATTGTTTGTAACATTCATAAATTTTTTCTTCGTACCCTCAATAATTTTGAAAATAATACACTATTATAACTATTTTTTGGGATTTATTCTTCGTTCCAACTCACTATTTCACTATTCTTAATCATGTAAGCTATCCTTCCCATCATATCCTCAATAATTTATATCTCATTTCACTATTCTTAATCTCACCTATTTTTAAATGGGAGATATAAATGGGGAGAAGAAGCAATTAGACCACTATGGTAAACCTCTAAGAGCAAAAGACACTAAGATAATTTCAGAATCAATTAGACAACTAAGGTAAACCTCTAGGAGTAAATAAAACACTAAGCTAATTTTAGGAGCAAAAAAAACACCTTTTTGATGAATTTATTACTCCGTATATATCATTTTCCCATTAATTTTTTATTTATCACACTTGAGGTCTTAAATAAAAAATTTAAGAGTAAACAAATCAAAATTCCAAGCATGTCAATGAGTTACGGTATCTTGTACTACTTTTGTTCTCTTTTAATTATAATATTGAACTTTTTACACTATTCACATATTCTACTTTGACTATATTTTATTTAATGATGTAATACACGGAGTATATAAATTAGATTTTTAAAAAATATTTTAAAATTCAACTAATTTAAATTATCAAAAAATGTTTTTTTTAAAATTTCACTGATAAGAAATGAAAGTTAATAATGATCAAACTTCTTCATTCACAAACGTGAAAAGTGGATCGCTGGAATTAAAAAAAAACGGAGGAAGTATACTGTAAACACCGAACTATGTAATAATGTAAACACCATTATTATTTTACATGTTTACATTGTTATATTTATTATTGTTGTTGTTATTGTTGTTTATACCTATAATTATATATATAAGTATTCTAATTGCAATTGTAATTATAACTATAATTATAATTACAATTAAATATTAATTATAATTCTAATCTCAATAAATTTAATTATAATAATTATAATTATAATATGAAATCATGATTATAACAAGGTGTTTTTTGCTCCTAAAATTACTCAAATTTATCTCAAGTAATCATAACTAATTATAATTTTAATCTCAAAAAAATAATGGAAAGATGATATATACGGAGTAATAAATTCATCAAAAAGGTGTTCTTTGCTCCTAAAATTAGCTTAGTGTCTTATTTGCTCTTAGAGGTTTACCTTAGTGGTCTAATTGCTCATGAATTTAGCTCAATGTCTTATTGGCTCATAGAGATTTACCTTAGTGATTTAATTGCTCCTTCTCCTGATATAAATGTTACGAATGTAGTACTTTATTTTATTATTGAAAAAATGATAAATATTTGGCTAAAATAAAAGCATTGGATAAAAATGATGCAACTTTTTATACTTGAATGACTATAATAGTCATATTAGCAACTATTATGGTGTTTTGCTTTACAAGTGACCTACGTAGCACCGATACGGGTAGGCGGAAACGGATACGGAGATACGATAAAACCAAAAAAGTAGGATACAAATATGAGGTCATATTTATAAATATTAAAAGTTATGGGGGTGTATTTATAAATATGAAAAGTTATAGGGGTGTATTTATAAATATTATAAATACAGTTTTTTTGAAAATATATACATATATTATTCTCTGATGTCTACCCATTCATGACATTGAAACATTTACATTTTCAAGATACTTAGAAATAAATTCATATTTTATCTCATATACACTAGTGCATCTCGAAATATAAATATAGTCAATAAGTCATTAATTTAAAATGTGAAATAAGTCAAACTACTATAATTTTGAAATTAAAAGTGCAAGTACTCAAAGTTTCAGAATAATGAAGATAGAAAACAATATTTTAAAAGTTCTAATACATATTTGTGTTGGAGCTATTAATTTCCAGGGATAATTAGAAGTATGGATAGGAGGATGAATTAATTAGGAAAGGCTCATTAGTTATGTTGGAGCTAGTTATTTCTAGTTTTTCATTTTTAAAGAATCTTATTATGTAAATTTTGGGTGTTTTTTTTAAAAGTTGATACGTGTATCAGTCAGGATACAAGTATGCAAAATTTTAAAATAATTACAGAAACTTTTAAAAATTGCAAATACGGCTCGGGAATGTATGGTATGGATCTCCTAGAATATCGGATACGGGAACATTTCCACTACGCCGATACGGGACCGTGCTTCATAGCAAGTGACTAATGTCACCTTTATCCATCACCTTTATTTAAATACTACCACGTCCTCCTAAGTTTGGGATAAAGGGGTGTTTTAAGAAAAATTAGAATTGTGTGATTGATATTGAATTCATAAAGTGTAAATAAAGTAAGAATGAATTCTAACCACTCAAATATTACCAAACATAATATGAGATAAGCTTAATAGGACGGACGAAAAAAGACAAAACGGAACAAAATTAGGTGACGAAAGGAGTCACTTATAAAGAATCTTTTGTAAAAAAACATATAGAAAGACCCACTTCATTATTTACAATTGTCTCGAGAACTATACCAGACAATTAAAAATTTAAAATGACAACCAAATCATATTAACAGTGAATTAAGGTCAGTGGCGATCCTAAGAATATAGCCAAAAACACAAGGGGAACCATCAAATAAGGCCTCAAACTTTCATAAAAAGTGTAAATAAGCTCTTTTATAGGAGGTTTTGTCCGTCCGTCCTCATTTGGGGCGGTTTCAGGTGGAATTTTTTGAACATCTTTTGCATTAAGTCTATTTTACTCATAACTGTGCAGTTAGGCAGCGCAGTACATTTCAGAAAATCATTTGACTGTCTTCTCGATTGAATTTTTAGCTTAAATTTACTATGAATAAACTAGACTTATTGAAGAAGATGTTCAAAAATTTCATCTCCAAATGGTGTCATCCGGACAAAGCCTCATTAAAAGTAGGGCAGAGCACGAGTCGCGTTCGGGCAGGTCGGTTTCAAAAATGATAAACCCGTTCGGGTATCGAATTGATAATTTCAAACCCTACCTTATCAAAAAATTTATCGGTTTTTTTTGGGTTGAAGAAATTCGGGTTGCGGTCGAATTGATTCAGGTTTCGGGTCCATTCGGATTTTAATTTATTATTGTTAAATTGTGATAAATAAAATGGTAATTGGTAAAAATATCATTCAAAGTTATACTAGTATATCATTCAAAGTAATAGTTGTATAAATACGATAATCGACATATTTGAACATGTAAAATAATAATATACGGTGATTGACATAATTGATATTGTGATAAATAAAAGAGTTAATTATCAAAATAGGACTAAAAGTCATTCACTTTTCACAAATAGGACCAAAAAATAAACTATGTTTCCATAGGACTAATTATGTGTACCTTGGACAATTATACCCTTATAGCTATTAAAATGTTTTAATTCCTAATAAAATAATAAAAAATAATAAAAATTCGTAAAAATACTAAAAAATTAAGAAAAACATTTCGATATTAAAAATTTAATTATTTTTTTTAAAAAAAATAAAAAAAAAATAAAAAAATAAAAACTCAAAAAAAAAATCGCCGCCGCCTCTGCCGCCTCAGCACAACCACCTCCAGTCACCAGGGGAAAAAAATGCCAAGTTCATTACGAATGCCATATTTATGGCAGAAAAAAATGAAAATGTTGGCATTCAAAAAGAGAAATATGCCACTTTTTTGGCATTTTCAGAAAAAAATGGTATTTTTCTGGGAAAATGGCATTTTTTTCATCGCCCGGAGGTGGTGGTGCTGGGAGGTAGTACAGGCGGTGGGAAAGGCATCCATATTTTTTAAATTTTTTTTTACGGAGTTGTACTATTTTTTATTAATTTTTTTAAAAATAAAATTATTTTAAAAAAAAAGTTTTTGAATTTTTTATTTTATAAAAATTTTAAAAAATTTTCAATTATATTTCTACGAATTTTTGAATTTTTTTCGAATTTAACATTTAATTATGGCTTTTGACTATTTTTAATTCATCTTTAATGGAAGGGTAAGAATGGAATGCAAAAATAGGTATGTTTTCAATAGGACTCATATGGTCCTATTTTGGAATAAAAACATAGCAAGTCCTATTTTAGGTTTTTGCCATGGTTTTAGTCGTATTTGAACTAATTTCTATAAATAAAATGATAATTGGTCAAAATATCATTCAAAGTCATAACTCATAATAACAATACAACATTCAAAGTTATAGATGTACTAATACGGTAATTGGAATATTTGAACATACACAATATGGTAATTGACATATAATAATTGAGATATTTGAACATGCATAATAATTTAAACTAGTATATATACTATGCTAGTTCGATTTTTCGAGCGGGTCGGGTAGCATAATTGGTAACCCTACCCGCTACCCGCTTAAGTATCGGGTTGCAAAAATCGGACCGGAATTGGATATTTCAGTTCAGGTTTTCCGACCACAACAAAAAAATCAGATATATCCGATCGGATAAATCGGGTAGGGTCGGATTTGCTCTTTCCTCTGTAAAAGGATTTATTAAATACAAGTTTGACCACTCACTTTACACACAAAAATGCAGCCACACGTTTCCTTGTTTTCTTGACCAATTATCTAGATTACATGGCCCTCATCAATGCAAAGGATGAACACTCTTCATGTCCAACAAAAAATGGAACCACAAATAACAGCAAATCAAAGTACATCTTCCAAATCAATTTCATTCAACACTGATATCAAAAACCTTGCTACTGGCAATAGCCTTTGGTATGTTGATATACAACACACCATCTTTCACCTCAGCCTTAATTTTCTCAAACTCCACATTCTCAGGTAGAGCTATTCTGCTACCATATCTTCCATTGCTACTTGCAGACCACTCTCCATTGTCTTCTTCTACTCCTTCCTTTCCAACCCCTTCTCCATTCTTCTTCTTTGGCGCTTTCTCTGCTTTGAACACAAGCATTTTCTCCTCAACCCACACTTTGACATCTTTTCTGGTCATCCCAGGCATGTCAAATCTCAGCTTGTATTCGCTCTGACCTTCTTTGATCTCCCATGGCGTTCTCCCCCTGCCATACCCTCCATTCTCATGTGGCACAGGAGAAGAAGAAGACCACCTTCCATTGAAGGCCATAGGGTCCTCTATTAATCTGTCCATTGTGTCCATCATCTGTTGCACTGTCTTTGCTGTAGGAAACCTATCCCATAAACCTATACACATTCATATTAAATTTCCACTTTTAGCTTTTGAAACCATGATTTTAAACTCAAATCTTTTACACAATTTCACTTTTTTTCTTCATTATCATAAGCACAATAAAAGATATACATAAAAATTTGAACTTTACTATTATTGTCATTTTTTCTTAATGGTTAGTTTAAATTTTTCCATTTTTTCATTGAACCCACTCCATTATCACTCTATATCTAGTAGAATCGTATAAATGAAACAAATCTTGTCATGAAAGAGATCAAATTTCTCGGTTATGTAGAAGAAAGAATCGGGATTGAACTTTACCAATGGGAGCAACTGCTTGAACAGACCTCCTTGGCGGTTGGGTCTTCATCGACCTTTGCTGCACTTGGTCAATGCCGTCTCTGCCATCGACGGCCATGGATGCGATTCTTGATTTGCCATTTTTACCAGAAATCGGAACAGCAAACTGGGAAATATTTGAGTGAGATGGATTGATGCATTGTGATGCCAAAGTGTGGGGAACAGCGAATCTTGAAACACAGTGAGACATTTTGTGGTTTAAAGCTCTTGCTCTTCCGCTTGTATCGGTTTATCGGTCGAGGATAGCGCGGAATTCGTGGGGACGGAGATTTAAAGTAAGCTGAGGAGTTTTCTAGAAGAAAATATCGACTGGCTTTATGGTCTCTTATCATGTTTCTAGACTTCTCCAGAGTTTCCGCTAGTTCTCGACCTCTCGAGAACCGCCAACGGCTTCATGTTCTGGATTTTGTAGCTAATTAGTTAATAATTAATTAATTACAGAGTAATTAATTAATTAATTGGATGTTTTGGTTTATGACTGGATGAAACTATGAAAATATTGTTAGATTAATGGACTCATAGTCTCATACTACATGAATATACACAATGTATTACTCCACCCTCCCATAATAATTCCTACTTTCCTTTTTGGATCGTCCCAAAAAATTGTTCTCATTTCTCTTTTTGGAAAGTTTTGTGTGGCTAACGTTCATTTACCTTTTTCTTACCCAACCACAACCATACATTTCCACTTTATTCTCACTTTCTTAAACTCCGATCCAAATTGGAATGTGTACTATTTTATGGGACGGAGGTAGTATTTATTATGTTTAATTGTATGTTATACTAGTATATATGTTATCTTATATCTAGGTCAAAAATTTAGTGATTCTAAGAATATTTATTTTAGTGTGCTAATATGTAGAGACTCATGGATTTAGACGTTTTTACTTGGAATGTTTTCAATCTCAAACTAGATCAGATCAAATTTAAACAAATCAGACCAGAATTCCATAGTTATAAAATACGCAGAGAACAAACATTTACTTGACCAAATCAGACTAGACCCATAAATTTCAGTCCAAGTAAACACATCTTTAATCTTATTTGATAATGGGCTAATAAGAGTTAATCATTCTCTAATTAGATAGAAAGATAAATCCTGAGTTACACACATCATTCCATTTTTCTGCATCTCATCGCTAGAAAAATAATTCGTGATGGTGTCCGGATCTGAAAGACCGTCTCCGACGGAATCATGTATGCTTCCATTCAGTTATTTCTGTAGATAATAATTTCAATATAAACATTGAAGTATTGATGAATTTATTCCTACAATTGATACCAGAGCCTCCGCCATATTGAATTGTTTGAAGTTTTCATATTTTTTATTCCAATCTTAAACTATTGGATTTATGGTATTTCTTTTGTCATATGATTTGCCGATTAAATGGCATTAGGGTAATGTGATTTTACTTTTACGTAATGCCTTCCTAATTTCATGTGTTGAATCATGTGTTGTTTTTCTATCATGCTGCCGTTTTTTGGGCGACATTATATTTAGGTTATTTTTTGGTTTTGTGTCGTTATCTTTTAAGCTTGATTGTGCTAGAATGTTGCACTTTTCTATCTTGGTTACTCATTCGACACTTTTGCTTATTTCAATCGCATTTGCTAAATTTGGGATAAATTTAGGGTTGTCTCCAATAATTTGCCACTTTAGCACAAGCATGAACGACATATTTCTAAACAAAGAATTCAGAGACCTCTGTGAGATGAAATTCTTGATTCCCTAAACTCCTCAAATTGTGATATTTGTGTTAAGCGCGTTAAGGGAAAACAAACTAACAAATGGAGATTAGACGTTGCGGGTGCTTCAGATATGTAAGGATTGATATACAGACATTTGTGGATGATTCTCTACAGCATGTAGAAATGATCAAACATATTCAATCACATTCATAGATAATTACTCTCATTATAATTGCCTTTAACACTATAACACTAAAAAAAAATTGTACCTCATTCATGAAAAGTCACAATCAATATACATGTTCAAATCTTATAATGGCGAAATTGAAAAATCATCTACGCAAAAGAATAAAAACTATTAGATCTGACCGTGGTGGTGAGAAGAAGTATGATCTACCATACTACCACTCTAGGAGATGTATTAAAAATTATAGCTTACATACTAAATAGAGTTCCCACTAAAGCTATCACTAAACCCCATATGAGATTTGGATCAGAAAGAAACCCTATATAAACCATTTTCATGTTTGGGGTTGTCCAGCTGAGACATGCCCCCTATAGGCCAAATGAAATAAACTGGACTCAAAAACAATAAGTAGCTATTTTGTAGGATACTTTGAGAGGTCAGGGGAGTATAAGTTTTATGTGATCTCACTTACAGGACTACTTTTTAGACGAGTAATGACCGGTTCTTTGAAGATATTGAGTTTTGGGGATGGAGAGATTGGGTTAAAGATATTATCCTTGAGGAGGAACATGTTAGCTATACTCTTCCTTCCGTTGTTATTCAACATGATCACGGACACGTATGTATACCTATAAATTTTGGATACCAATTTTTTTGAATTTTATGAGAAAAGTCAATGACCTCACTTGCCTTAAGGAAGGCACAACCCTAGGTCAACCCGTGTTGCGAGTACTCGACGAGTAGATAACACAAGTCTCGGAAAAGTTGTAAAACGGAAGAAATTATGAAGGAAACGATCTTTGTGTGTGCAGTTGGACTTAGCCAAGAAAATACGGAGGACAATCATGTTTTATTAAAAAAAACTTACGGTTTTACATATCGCAGTGGTTCTTCCCTACATTTCCTTTCCTTCCAAATTTTCAACTCATTTTCCTAACTACTCCCTCCGTCCCATTTAAACGTTCCTACACGGTTTACGATGTTTGACTGACCATAAAGTTAAGTGATCCCTGTCATTAGTAGAATTATTTTTAGTAAATAAAATTTATATATTCAGAAACTACATTAAAACCGCTACAAAGTCTGATCAAGAAAATTTAAATTTGATAAAAGTTGGATATATAAAGTAAAAAATTAAGAACAATGGACGTTGACCGAAGAATAGTGGACGAGAACCTTTAAACGGGACGGAAGGAGTATATCATTGTCTTATCATTTCTAAGTTCTAAACAGATCCGAAATACGGACAATAGGCAATGGCATATTGAGAATTTAAGTTTTGGGTGTTCAATACTTTTTTACAACTACAAATTTAAAAAGTAATAAATAATTATACCAAATTTACACATGTATACCTACATGTTTTTCAAAAAAATTGAGTGTTCATGTGAACGCCTTTAAACATGAGTGGCGAAAGCTCCGCCACTGACAATGAGACACTTAGTTCAGCAAAGTGATGTAGGATATTCCTGGCTCATCTTTAGGCTTGACCAGTACATGACCACCAACACTCTTCTTGGATGACAGTGGAATGGTTGAAAGATGTTGTTTCCCCTTGCTTCTAAGATCCATCTGTCCATCACATGACTGAGGTGGTCCCTGAAGAAGTGCTTCCCCACCATCGTCGTGCCTTGTCCGTGAAGTCCCGCCAAGGCTGGACGATGATGGTTGACCATCTTGCTGTCTCAAACGAAATCTTTTCGATGCTCTTTCGGGCTCTTCATTCAAAACCTTGTGTTCCTCCAAAGCACCCTTCTCCTAAAAAATGTGCATAGGAGAAGAACAATTAGTGCCCGTTTTGTAAGTTTTTTTACTGCAATGGCTGAATCAGTTGAATTTTTTAAAGTAAAACCTTTATGTAAAAACCTATCTCAACCATATATAAGTAATCTATAAGCTACTATACTTAGAGCTTGCTGGGTGATCCTAAAATGTCTGAACTCTGAAGTGGCTGAATTTGGTTAAGGGGTGATTGAACTTGCTTAACCTGCTCAATGATCTAAAGAATCATTTAAAGAATCACTTTCTTTAATTTCAACCAAAATACTTATTTGTGTACTACTTTTTTCATTAATTTAGACAATTGATGTAAAATGAGCATATTAAAGGAGGTCCTTACTGCAACAAGGATAGAAGATCTTGCGCGCCTTGCTTCCTATAAGATTGATGTAAACAATAGAACATTTATGGATATTAATTGAGACAGTGAATAAAAAGGTGATTATTATAAAAAGAAAAAAGAAACTAGACTCACCTCAGCTTCCTCATACTCAAAAATTGCATCAAAAAGGGATCTGTAATTCTCTTCCTCAATGAGATCCCAGTTTTTATTGTACAACTTCAAAAGATGTTTCAGTACAGGCTTCACCCTTTCAGCACTGATCCCTTGAACCTTTGTAACACAAAAGGCATTTGCAATCCTTTTCCTAGAGTCAGGACCCATTCCTAACTATAGCAGACACAGAAGAATGGATTTGTCAAGTGTCAACCCACCTAATTCTTTCTGCAACCAAAAGCAAAGAAAAGAAACTTATATATTCACATTAATAAATGCATAAAATTTAATCCTATTCAGTTTTGATGGAAATCTCACTCTGGGTTTTATAATATTATATCACGATATATTTTTACTGAATTTTATGAAATTATATGCCATATATAGCTAGGAGGAGTTTTCATTCTAATAACTTCGGCATATAATGTAGAGGTCGAGTCTAATTTATTGTGGTTCAAACCTTGTATTTTAAAATAAAATGATCATGAAATGATTTTATATACAGTGTATTTATACATACGAAGCTATTGGAATTGCCGAATTGATAGAGCCATATATATACGCATTCGAAATAGCCAAAGAGATGTGGAAGACGAAAAGACTTTTTTTCCAGGCCAATAGCTTCACAAATTCAACCAACATAATACGGAGTAATTAATTTAGAAGGCAGCACAAGGGGTTAGCCGCCCAAAATCCTTGCTCCACGCTTGCATTTTATCCAGGGAAAATTAATGTTAACCTGTATGGCATAATTATTAATGGAGCCTTACATTTTAAAAAACTAATTAGTTACCTCTGAAATTAGATCATTCTCAAATATTCTTTGCCCCTTGAAGTTAATATTTGCTAAATCAAATTGAACATAACTCTTAAATTCAATGAAAATTGTGTATGTGATTAATTTTTAAAGTAAACACAAATTATTACCATAATTATAAGTCATTGTTGTTGATTGTTATTTTTCCACTTAGCTACTCCATCGTGGAATAAATATTATTGAGAGTAGTTAAGGAAAATACTCACGAGTAACATATGAAATATCATGAATTTTACTATTTTTATTTTAAAAAATTAAGTATCATTTAATCTTATAGAATTAATAAAAATTTTACTGTAAAAAACTTGTGTGAAGATAAAATCATGCGTGTTTGGACCATGTTCTGAGACAAAAGAAATAAGAAATAAAAAAAAACTACTACCTCCGTCCCGCTATTACAGAAATAAGAATTTGTTTAACTACCTTCCTGATTGAACTTTGAGCTGAAATTTAGTATGCATAAACTACACTTGATGAGGAACATGCTCGAAAAATTGCATTAAAAAATTCCCCCCGAAACACCCTCTGATGGTGTTGTCCGCGGGGGGGGGGGGGGTCCGGTCAGGACGTCATGACAAAAGGGTGGTCCGGCCACCTCAATTTGAAGTGGTTCCAGGTGGTATGTTTTGATGAAATTCTTTGTCATTTTTTCAATGGATTATCGTTAACATTTCCCAATAAATTTTAAAAAACAAATATTTTTTTTATCAAAATATTCCGACGACTTTTCCAACGGCGATTTGCAGTGGCTGAGCAGGTGTGGGGGCTGGTAATTAGGGTAGGGGTTTGCACTGGCTTGTATTTCAAATCTATTGAAATCCATATGATTCTATGAAATATAATTCCATATGAATCTCATGGAATCCGTAGAATTCCATTAAAATCCATAGAATCTACAATCCTTTAAAATCATTTAAAATCCGTGTTGGGGACACCTTTAAAATCATTTAAAATTCATATGTACACCTTTTTGTTTTCAGAAATCAGAATTTGAGAAATAGAAAATTATAGATTTAGTCTTTAAGCATTTTAAGGGCTCTATTCTTTATGCTTTCCCTCTTTCAAATTTTTAAATTTTCATATTTATGTCTTTATACAATTGTAATTTGTGATTTGTAGGGTCTTTAGTAGGAGCATCAATCAAATTAATATGAATTTGAATGATTTGTCATTATTAATCTCATTATTACTTTATTTGTATTAAAGGCAATGAAGAGGGTTTAAAGAGATACTATAGTTCTATTGAAGTAGGACTATGTAGAAAAGGACACCTTGAAAGTTGACAATGATGTCAATATCAAATAATATCCGAGGATGAAAATCCATAGAGAACAATTGTAATAGACATCATATTCAATTATTTCTGTAATTTATGACGTTCACATTTTTATTGCAAAATAGGTTCTTTTATTAAAGTTTGGCCCATCGTGGATGCCAATGCTAGATCCACCCTGACCGTGGGAGCACCATATTCAGAGCCAACCGAGGGGAGGGTTGCGCGGCCCAACCGCACAAGGTCCAAACAATTATAGGACCCAAAAAATATATTTTAATAGGCGTATTACTACTAGTGTACTGCTCCGTATTACTTTGCCCCCTCTGCCCCTATGTTCAAGTTCATATTCACTTGGTCAACACAAATTACTCTTAATCTCTTATTTTATATATCAATTTCTAATTTAACATGTAATTTTTTCTAAAAATATTTTGAATGTAAACGGATAAGGCTTCGTTGAGTCATAAAGCCCTTATCTCAACTCTATTCTCCCCTCACCATCCACATTTTTTCAATTCTCAGTCATGGAAGCTTGTCCAATTCCAATAACAACGTCAGTGCCGCCATTAATCTCATCAGCGCCGACCAAAAACTCCCTCCCATTTTCACTCCACCCTAGTCAATCTCCAGCTTCTCTGGCAAACCTCACTCTTTCAGCAACCCGAAAAGGATTCGGATATACCACCTCCCAGAAGAAATCCAAAAGGTCCAAAAGGAAACCCAGGAATGAAGAAGAAGAAGAAGAAGAGGAAGAAGAAGGGGTGATTCCGGAGATAGTGACGAATCGGATGATTAGCAGAATGGGTCTGACTGTCGGGATCCCTTTGATGGTAGGGCTGTTGTTCTTCCCATTCTTTTACTACCTCAAGGTCGGGGTGAAGATCGATGTGCCGACTTGGATTCCTTTCATCGTCTCCTTTGTCTGCTTTGGGGCAGCCCTCTTCGGGGTCAGCTATGGGGTAGTGTCCGCCAGTTGGGATCCTTTCAGGGAGGGCTCTCTGCTGGGCTGGAATGAAGCTCAGAAGAATTGGCCTGTTTTCCGGCAGTCCATCTGGGGTGGGTCCACAAAAAATAAAAATAATTTGTAGCTGTGATTTTTCTTTTTCTTCGCTAACTAATTCTATGTGTTTTGTGACTTGCATAAAATTGTGAAACCAAGATAGTCCGTATAGAATTGTAAGGTCACTTGCAATTAAATCTTTTGATAAGTAAGGTTTTTATAATTCTTGTCTAACATTTTATTCATAATAATTCAATTGTATTCAACATATTTTATTCTGCTATGAGGCCATGGCTGCGACCATCTTCAACTGACTCCGAGATGAAGAAACCAAAACTGGGATCATGGTGATTATCAATGTGAGGCGGAAAGATTTGAGACTTGGGAGTCCATCGATCGAACAACGAATGCCAAATCCGAAGATGAAGAATCTGACTATAATGATGGTACCGATATTTTACCCCAAGATTTCAAAGATGAACTCTATGTTGAAGTGTTGAACTCTGCAACTTGGTTCTTCCTTATTACCTGGATAAGCATCCAGGAGAATCTTATGAGTTCAAGAGCATGAGGGGTGGGGGGGTATTGGTGGTTTGCTTGGTCAAGTGTGAATTATGAGCTGGTATTTTGTGCTGAAAATCTGAACATGGATGATAAACGTGTACAAAGCTTTAGGGCCAGTGTTACTTGTCATCATCGGAAGGGGTCTGAAGTTACAGAAATAAAGAAATGTGTGCTACTCAAAGATGGGGTTGAGCATTTGAGGAATGGGATAAGTTTGGCCATGCTATGCCAGAACTTCTGCTTGAAGACCTTAAGAAAAGAGGAATGGAATATGAAAATGAGATAAGTTTGGCGATGCTATGCCAGAAATTCCGCTTGAAGACCTTAAGAAAAGAGGAAGGGAATATGAAAATGCAGTTGAACTTTGCAGATTGGCTCTTAAGGTTACCGATCTAACCATCCCGAAGAATGTTATGAGTTTGTGAGCCTGAAGAAGGTGAAACATTGTCTTTCCCGAAGAATGTTATGAGTTTGTGAGCCGAAATGCAACAAACTTTGCAGATTGGCTCTTAAGGTTACCGATCTAACCATCCCGAAGAATGTTATGAGTTTGTGAGCCTGAAGAAGGTGAAACATTGTCTTTCCCGAAGAATGTTATGAGTTTGTGAGCCTGAAGAAGATGAAACATTGTCTTTCCCGAAGAATGTTATGAGTTTGTGAGCCGAAATGCAACAAACTTGCATTTCTTGCCAAAAACATGAGCCTTTATGACAATGCAACAAACATTGCAGATTGAAACATTGAACTTTGCAGATTGGCTCTTAAGGTTACCGATCTAACCATCCCGAAGAATGTTATGAGTTTGTGAGCCTGAAGAAGGTGAAACATTGTCTTTCCCGAAGAATGTTATGAGTTTGTGAGCCTGAAGAAGATGAAACATTGTCTTTCCCGAAGAATGTTATGAGTTTGTGAGCCGAAATGCAACAAGCTTGCATTTCTTGCCAAAAACATGAGCCTTTATGACAATCCTCCAGCAACCTTTCAAGCCTTGGGTTATCACCTCGTGCTATCTCTTGAAGCACATGAGTAAGCACATCAGTGCGAGACCCTTGGAGAGGGGCGGAGCCAGGGCTCAGGATCAGTGCAAATCGGAGTAATATTTATGGAAAAGTTTTACACGATATTTTTTACACTAAAAATATGCACATTTTTTAAATTTGGGATAGGTCGGGGCCTAGGTTGCCCCCTTAGGTACGCCCCTGCCCTTGGATAGGGTTATGGGATGGTAACTTATCTGTTGAAGTAATTTACTCCGCATGTTGTAACTTTCTCGTATCTATTCATGTTGTAATATGTCTACCAACAGTACTAAGTAGTACTGAACACCTTAATCCACGAACACCTTGTGTGGTTATCTTATGTTTGACTGCCTTTATTGTATGCATGTCGGATGTATGATGCCTAAAAAAGGCATGGTTAAAGTAAAATGTATTAGTTGTGTAGTATTCAAAGTCTTTAATTATTAAAGAACGGAAAAATTATTAGAGCATGTTCAATTGTTTGCTGGATTTTTATTTTTGAAATGTAAATTAATTTTTACCATAGTAATTTAGAAGTTATTTTGTTCGTCTGATCTCAATATTTTGTTTGAATTTTTTAAAATTTGTTTTGATCTGAATAAAACAAGAATAATCAATAAGTAATAAAAGACCAACATAATAACAACTTATGATTGTCAAGTAGTAAAAAATTCCTACCACTCATAACTTTTAAAGTGCTAGGAATTCTAGAGTATATTTAAAGTCTAATTATACATGTCTTAGGATTTATTAAGAGGTTTTTTAAAAAACATTCCTAAAATAAAACTTGTTGACACAAGTATGCTTAATAGTTACTACGGCATAGTATCATAGTAATTTAAGTTGAAAATTGAATATAAGTTACTATAATTGCATTATTACTCTAGTCACTAGTCACATTTTTGTAAAAAATAAGGAAAATGGAAATTAATAATCCAATCTTTCGGTGGTCTTCTTACAATAGTCCAACCTTTTCATTATTCATGAATAATTCAACCTTTTCACCCCATCTTCATTCGTTGGTCCCTGACCGATTTATGACCTGTTATTCCAAGTTATTTTCTTATCTTTGTAAGACAGGTCATAAATCGGTCAGGGACCAATGAATGAAGATGGGGTGCAAATGTTGGATTATTCATGAATAATGAAAATGTGAGACCATTGTAAGAAGACCGCTAAAAGGTTGGATTATTAGTTTCCATTTTCCCTAAAAAATATTTATTTTAATTATAAAAACTACTCTGTAATTATTTCATATTTTTGAACATAAAAGAGCGGCGTTTATATTAATTTTGAAACATCATACATAGTACAAGATAACATTCAAAGAGTTATTACAGATCAAATCCTAAACCCTAGTAATAGACTTAGAGTCAACAACCTCATATAAAGCAACTTGACTCGCTAGACACAAAACGACCAATTGTAAGCCTAAAACAATCGGAATCAAAACACTGTCTAACAATAGAATTCCAAATATTCAAATCAAAACTAGTCAAACTAAAATAAACACAAGTACTACCAAAGCAAAGATAATACTCCGTACAAGAATAAAACCTTTTCACAAAACTATTCCTGACACGGAGGTGATTTCGGAGGAGGACAAACTGCTGCAGTATGGATGAATACTAAAATTTTCTTCTTTCTTCATTTAAGATAGACATAGAAATAGATAGAGTAAAAACAACATTTATGCCTCTTCCATTTTTTACGTTGTTCAAAAGAAGACAGACAGAAACTCTTGGTCGGTCGAAATCGACAGGGACACCAAAGCAACTTCCCATGGAGCGCCAGTGCCCGAGAAAGAACTGTCATAGATTAGAACAATCACAATAGCAAAAGAAGAATAATTAATCATACTCTTACCAAAACCCCTCAAGAGCGAATTTCGCCATTTTTCGGCAAAGGAACACTTGGACGGAAACAGTATTTGTCAGAGACCTAAGGGCATCCATAGATTATTTTTGGGATCATTTTGATGATGTGGAGGATTTTTTTTGGAATCATGGATGAGGAGTTGAGATTATTTTATGAGATTATTTGATAAAATAATCTGGTATCAAATTCTAAAGCTGGATTATTTTGAGATTATTCACAACTTTTAGGCTCCTCTTCCCATTTTCTAGACAACTAATAATAAATAGCTTTGTAAAAAAATCTAGGTAAGTTAAGATCATGGATGAGGAGAAATTGATAGGTTTTGAGATTATTTTATGTGAAAGTGACATGACAATAAGAAGGCATAAAAACCCGTAAACTTGAGTATCATGAATGGAGATGCTCTAAGTCCTTTAGTGATCCACTCTGAGGCAGCCTTTAGAGACCCCAAAGAGATGTGTAATTATTTCATTAATTAAGTGTCTTTTGTCACTTCCGGTTTCTAGAAAAAGTTTTTGATCATATTGAATGGCCTATGAGAACTACTTGAAGATGGACGTGAAGACCCACCTACCACCAGGACAACTTGGACAAAGAGAAAATATGAACATAGCTAAAGAGTTACGCTATGTCCATCATTATCATTACCCTACTCTACTCGGCCATATCCTTATACTAAAACATATAGAGACTGTTTCCGGACGATTAATGGTGAAAATCGCGTCGAAAATTGCATAGACTGACCAATGCATTACAAATAAATAATAATAATAATTATTATTATTATAAAAATAATAATAGTAAATAAATAAGTAAATAAATAAATAAATAAAATTAAAAAAATAGTAAATAAATAAATAATAATAGTGATAGTGCTAATAATAGTGATAGTGGTAGTAATAATAATGATGATTATGTTTATTCTAGACATGTTTGGCTACAATTTGGAATGGTGACTAAGATGCAAATTAGCATAACAGCACCTGTTTTAAAAGAAACGAGTTACTCCGTATATTTTAAGTGAGTAAAAATGACACAAGCTTAAGACAAATAAAGAGGGTTAGATTAATTTTTCATCCAGCATTAACTGAAGAAAACAGCGGTGAACGAATCAAAGTCAAACACCTCAACCTCGCTCTGCCCAACTCCCTCAAGGCTACAATTAATAATGCAAACATCATCAAACTACTTACCACATTATTCCTCTATTATTCAAAAGTTCTAATACCCAGATTTCATTATTCACATACTTTACTTTGATTATAATTTTCTAATAACATATATAATTACATTATAGTGTATAAATTATACTAGTAATTCAATTTCTATTAATGTAAATTTCAAAATATAAATTTTTTAATGTTGACTAATACGTAATTAAATATAATTACAGTCAAACGTGAAAGTAAAATTATTGCATCTTTTAAAGAGGATGATATCAATTGAACAGTTAATTGAGTAAATGTAATGTAAATTTAATTTTAATCAATTAAATTTTAAATTTTAATTGAGACTATACATAAGTTTACATCAAGGCCGGTTACGTGTGATGCATGTATTTATGCTAAGGCCGGTTGGTAGTGGGAACTACCATTCGTCAGCCTCATGTTTTTTATTTAATACGTTGTTATCTTAATAATTCTGTAGTTGATAATGGAGGGATAATTATACGCACTATAAACAACAAATTCAAATTTGTTGGGGACAATCAAATAAAATACTACGTAAGTTGGAAACCATTGAAGGAAAAAAAGAGTACAATATACAGGAAGAATGAGTATAAGTTGGAGAATAAATATACTCATCAACATTTTTTTAGAACAAATAAACACATAATTTGTAAAGTTGGAACAAATAAAACTATACTATCGGTATATTAGAAAACATACACACCCTTATGTTCAATAGTTGGGGTATACAAGTATTCTAGTATACGATTCAAGGATATATACTCCAACTTTAAAATTTTCTTGTGTTTTGTGTTCATAATAAAATAAAAAATGAGAGCAATATCTATTCTTTATCCCATAATATATACCTTCACATTTGGAAATCATCAAAATGTATAAATTAACAAAAATGTACATTTTACGAAATTATCACCTTAGTTTGGAAAAATAATCATTTCACAATGAAAAATAAATCCTAACTTCGTCCTAAAATGGAAGTAATTAAGGAAACAAGAATAAATACCCAACAATTATACGACTAGTGTACCTTTCCCATTTACTTAGCATTTTTTTTTTCATTTTCCGTCCATGATCATGCACTCATGTTGACCCTGAAGTAATATAAATAGGACCTCACTTGTATCAAAGAATGGAGTGTTCTTTCTCCATTCTATTGGTTCATCCCTGTGCCTTCTGTCACTTTCCAGTTCAAGAAAAATTCATCTGATCTGAAAGGTGGGAACACTGAAAAGCAAAAACCCAATAAAGAATGGAAAACTCTATCGGATTCATACTCCTCTGTATGACACTCTTTATACCCACCATCCTGTGTTACTACATCCTCCGGAGTCGGACCCGACACCGAGGACTTCCCACCCCGCCATCACCGCCTCGGCTTCCCATCATAGGCCACCTGCACCTCCTCTCCGACATGCCCCACCGTACATTTGCTCGTCTTGCTAAGAAATTGGGCCCCATATTCCACCTCCAGCTCGGGCAAGTCCCGACGGTGGTGATTTCCTCTGCCCGGTTAGCCGAACAGATCCTAAAGAACCATGACCATGTCTTTGCTAGCAGGCCGCAGCTCATTGGCGCGCAATATCTGTCCTTTGGTTGTTCTGACATCACTTTCTCCCAATACGGACCCTACTGGAGACAAGCGAGGAAAATCTGTGTGACCGAGCTGTTGAGTTCAAAACGGGTCGACTCTTTCCGGGACATAAGAGATGAAGAGGTGAAACACCTGATAGAGACTGTATCTTACCACTCTGAGTGTGAAGTGGACATGAGCGAGCTCTTCTTTGCCATGGCAAACAACATTCTGTGTCGGATAGCCTTTGGGAAGAGGTTTATGAGTGAGCATGGCGGTGATGGGAGAGAAAAGAAGGATTTGGTTGGTGTTCTGACAGAGACGCAGGCTTTGCTTGCTGGGTTTTGCTTGGGAGATTTCTTTCCCAGGTGGGAATGGGTCAATGTGGTCAGCGGAATGAAGAGAAGGCTGATGAACAACTTGAGAGATTTAAGAGAGGTGTGCAATGAGATCATAGATGATCATTTGAGGAGGGCGGCGGATGGAAGAAGAGAAGACTTTGTTGATGTTTTGCTCAAGGTTCAGAAGAGAAATGACCTTGAAGTCCGAATCACTGATGACAACCTCAAAGCTCTTGTTATGGTCCATCTCTATCTCACTCAATCTCCATCTATTTGTCCTCATGTGCGTACACACTTTAGCACACTTCTTAGCGCACCGGTTACAGCGTTGTTGTGTGACCGAGAGGTCACAAGTTCATCTCTCTGGAGCAGCCTTTTATCAAAATGATAGGGAAGGTTTCCTCCTTATACACGGTGGAGCCCTTCCCAAGACCCTCACCTTGAGGGGACGTCAATGTGCACCAGACCTCCCCTTTTATAAACCTTATTGTGATTTGTGACCATTTTAATACTTATTTATAAAAACAAAACCTAACATTGAAAATATTGTTAAATTTGTTTCTATGTACATTATTCAAATATAAACTCTATAATCTTTACACATGTATAGCTGAATATTCGGTTATATAATATATGCACCTACCTAGTGCATATGATAAAATGCATTTCAGCATTTGGCTTCATTATCAACTCGCAGAAGAGAAACTTGAAGGTACTATCTGAATGCACTTTTGTTAATAAAATGTGCTACTCATAGAGTAATCCCATGGTCATATGGTGAGGAAAAGGTTGACTGGAAGTCAAAAAATCATCCTCGAAAGAATTAGTGAAGATAATTCTCATGAAAATGCATAACAATCACTGAATCAGTGAATCTTTCCCAAGGCATATAATACCTTACTTAAAGGGCACTTTCGTCAAATACATAACTATACCCGAATCTTTTCCTAAGTCTTTCTTTTGGTGACAACTGATAAGAACTCATTGGTACTAGGACATGTTTGTAGCCGGGACAGACACAACATCAGCCACGCTTGAATGGACGATGACATCACTTGCTACAAACCCAAGGGTCATGAAGAAAGCACAAGATGAAGTAAGAAAGACTGTAGGGGATAAAGGGAAAGTGGAAGAGAGTGACCTTCAACACCTCCATTACATTAAAGCAGTGATAAAGGAAACTATGCGACTTTTCCCACCTGTTCCTCTTCTTGTTCCCCGAGAATCAATAGAGAAATGCAATATTGATGGCTATGAAATACCAGCTCAAACTAGGGTCCTAATAAACACATACGCCATAGGGAAGGACCCTGATTCGTGGGATAACCCTTTGGAGTACTATCCTGAGAGGTTCTTGGAACAAGATATTGACTTCAAGGGCCAGGATTTCAGGTTCTTGCCATTTGGAGGAGGAAGAAGGGGTTGTCCAGGTTATGCTTTGGGATTGGCTACTATTCAGCTCACATTGGCCCGTCTACTGTATCACTTTAACTGGAGACTGCCACCTGGAGTGAAACCCAGTGACGTGGATTTGACAGAGATTTTTGGACTGGCTACAAGGAAGAAGATGGCTCTGAAGCTTGTCCCAGTAGTCAGTATATCGTCTTCAATATAAACCATTCTTAGAAGTGAGCTTCTATGTTGCCTCCTTTACTAAGAGTATGTTTGGATCCAAGAAAATGTTAGGGACGGAAAATGCTTGGAAAATGGAAGAGAATAAAAGCAGTTAAGAAAACTAATTTTCTTGTAGTTGGTTTTACCTCAGAAAATGCAAAACAAATTTAAATATGATTGATATTTTTAGTATTTTTACATATGTTTATGTTTTTTCTCTTTGTATAATTCTTTTCTCATCCCAATACAGACTTGTATCACAAAAACAATGTTTGAAAAAAAGAATCGTGCTCAATCAAATGAGGATAACTGTCTAAAAATACAAAACAAAGCAAGGAACAAGTTTAATACTACGTATGATAAATCCAGAGAAACTATAAAAAAAAGTTATAAAATATAAGTATAGTTTATGTCATAAGATAGTTGTTTTTTTAATCCGGTGATATCATAAGACAGTTGTTGTACCTTCCCAAAAATAAAAAAGTTACAGCTTGGTTGAATAGGACTTTTTTAGGAATGGATAAAGGAATGGATAATAATAAAATTAAAAAAATAAAATGAGTTTTAACAAGAATAAAAACTTAATTTATGGAGTCTGAAAGAATGTTCTTATTTCCCTCAATCCCTCCACATTTTCTTTCCATCCAAACCTATCCTATATTTCCTCTTTAATTTATCACTCTGGCATTTTCTGAGGTCCAAATGGCTCTAATGGGAAAACACAAGGGAACCCCCCTTAATACAACCAGTGAGAGAGCCCAATACAAACCATAGTTTTTCCTTGCCTACATTATTTTCTTCCTCCAATAAAATAATTTATGTTGTGGGAGAATATCACTTACTGGCTCACTGCAAGTCCTTTTTCACTAGGTCATCAAGAATGGTGAAATATTTATGCAACTCAAACCAATTTCATGATTACGGTTGCATTTCTCATTGAACAGAGGTAAAAAAATGTGAAAAGTAAAAACTAATTACAATGATTTGTAACACATGCGATGGGGAGTGTATAAACAAAGCTTTCAAGAGAATTCATGTGCAACTCACTAGTAGAGACCAAACGATAAACTTCGTATAAACAATGTCATTCCCCTCTATGGGATCTTTCTTTGCCCTTCCAACCTGATAAGTGAACAAACACAAATTATCAAGTAGTGTACTACAACAAAAAACATAAAATCACATTCCTCAGTTGTAGGAATAATGCTAAGTTCACGTTTTAAGGATGAAATGATTATTTTACCCTCACTCTACGGACTAGATAAATTTAAAATGAGGGTAAAACTGTAATTTTACTCCCTAAATGCTAGCCAAGTGGGGACTTGGATATGATGTAGCCTTACTCTAGATGCAGATACCATATAACTCACTCACATAGTCTTTTCTTTTGAATTATCAGAATCTTCCTCGGTTGAATCAGATGATAAATTAAGAGCTGTAAGCTTCCCGAACGATTCCTTAGCGACTCCAAAGAAGTCTTTCACCTTATCAACAACAGTTTTAAGCTCTTCTTTTCGTGGAAGCTGCAATTTCAAAGATTTATGACATGAAAGTCATTTTAGTTCAATCAAGTAATACACAAGTGAATTGATCTCTCATTACTCCCTCTACACGCATATAAACACCATTTTATATGCCCGTATGGGTTTATAAGCCTTACAAGGATGGAAGAAAAACACAAGACACCCCATCATTCTGATTATTAGGCTTTTCAGCCAAAAAAAGGCTCGCTTCTATTTCCGCTGTTTTTTATTTGTACAGTGAAATGACAATTCTTTCTTCCTTTTCTTCTTTAGCCCCATGCAATAGAATTACTACATACCCTTTGAGGTAATTACACATCCAATCACTCATTTTAACCAAAAAAATTACCAAACACTTATAGTTCAATCAATTCAGCCTATTCAGTGAACTTAGTCATTTAAGCTATCACCAAAAGGGCACTTACTGTTCTGGATTTGGATTGAGTTGGGTTTTAGTAAAATAAAAAGTTGTGTGGTAGACTAATGGAAGATCATGAACCACATATTGTTAGCTTAAAAGGAAAAAGAAGATTATCTAAAGACAGCCCAAAGGAAGATAAAAAGGTGCATATCAGAGTATTAATTTGTACTCTGAACAATAAATAGTATATGAAGGCCACATCAACTTTTACCTCGGTGATATCTGAGGTAGAAAGAGCAGCCCTCAAATTATTATTCTCCTGCATAGTTTTAGCAGAAACATAGATTGTTGGACTTGCTAATACCATATAAGAAGGTACACTATTAAAAGATAATAAGTAAATAGCCAAGACGCATATTTATGGACTTTGAAGGTGAAGGGAGGGAGTTTTTTTATAATTAAGACTTATGAGAATTATATATGGCTAGTGGTAATAAATAAAGTGCTAAGACATTAGTTAAAAGTAGTGTTTTTAAAAAGTGAAAAATAACCCTACCCTTATCTCCCCCCATAACCCTCCAAAACTCAACTCCCAAACATAGCCTAAGAAAACAAAGAGTTGGAGCATACAACAAGTTTGAATCCATATCTAAACTCTGTAGCAGACCGCAAGACACGATGTTGTTTCATTGCCTGCTTTTGAAGTTCCTTTTCATCCTGTCATAACAACAGCAACACAGTAACCACCAGAAAAATGCAAGCAAAATCTATATACAGCAATATGGATGAGAAGTTTGTTCCAAGTGAAGCATATACATATGTAAAAACATTATCTCGGGAAGGTGAGTGAGCGACTCCAACAAAAGTGATTAATAATGGAGTGATCATTCTTAAGTATCGATAAAGAGCAAACTTGTCAATCTTTAATACTTTCAAATGCTCTCACCATCATTGGAAAAAAAACCATGTCTCAACAAATGAGCTAATATTTATTGAATTTAACGTAATCTTCCAAAAAAAGTTTGAAAAAAGTTAAGTTGGTTAAATATAGCTGAGCAAAGATATAAATTTATGATTGGTAATTTACAAATTGTACATTGCCAAAATTAAAACGCTACACCCACACAATCACACTCTATTTTAGCACAGAGGTAGTTATAATTTTTAAAACTAAATATTTTAGACAACCCATCCCATCATCACAGCAACAATTTTGCAATTTCAACCAATGGCCTCATGCTATGTCGACTTATTTTTAAATCATTTAAGCCATTCAAGCTTAAAAACAATTTTCATTAATATGATATGCTTTAAACCAGAACTGCTTTTATTTAATGTCTATTAGCCCATTAGCATCACTAGACCAGAACAGTTATGAATATTGGCAAATACCAAAATCACACATCTTTGGTAGTAACTTACTCGGTAAATAACAGCCGCCAGATTCCTAGCTAGGGTATCCTTGTAAATGTACTTCCCCAGAAAGTTGTCCTTCGCAGAAACTATGATTTTCGCACTTGTTCCACCAGTAACAACAGTGAGTGGGTACCAAAGGTAAATCTGCCCAATAAAACTAAACAAGTGCATCAGGATCTCCAAAGGCGTTGATTGAATAAGCTCTACTCAGAATCCATTTGGTAAGACAAACCATTGCCTCACCAAAGACCCCTAATTTTCGATGCCTTGGTCGAATTCAGGAAAATAATCTCACAGGATACTTTTTCGTCCAAGTGAAGTAAAACACAATTTACTTCTCACTTCACTCGTACATTTTCTTCAATTTATTAACAAATAGTATTGCATGCCCCTTCAATAACTAAAGCCTTAAACCAATGGTTCATTGCAAAATTGCATATTATATACAGTTGTTTCTTTTCTATCTTCCACCCCTGTCACTTCCTGCTAGCTCAAATTCATTAAAATATTGAATACCCTGAGGAAAACGCATTCCCAAATTGCAGATTCGTCAAAAATGTACCCAATCTTATGCTAATAGACAAACAAGAATTGGCATAGTAACCCAAAACTTCACCACTCAAATTCCCCAAAAAGCACAGAAAAATGTTCATACATAGAAACAAAAGACACACACAGAGGGAGAGCGGGGTCTTACATTGGCCATGCGAATAAATACGACGAATTTCGGATTGCCATCATCCTCGAGCTTAGGCAGAGGGGGAGGAGCCATACGCTGGAACTGGCGAGGTGCCATTCCTTTCTTTCCCTTAGCTTCAACCACCAAAAACCTTCCACCATGATGCCTTTTACGGGAGGTAGAAGCGGTCCTTGTGGAGTAGACCGAGTGCCTGAGGGGTGAAGAATAAGCAACGCCATCCACAGGATTTCTTCGGGGCGGTCTCACTAGCGGGTTCAAAGACATTGCCACCTCCATCTTCTCCAACACTGTCTGATTCAGCAGTTGCGGATTATTGTACGAGTGCTACTGTGAAGTTCTTGGTGGATGGAACTGAAAAAACTTCCCAAGTCAGATGTTGTGTTGGAAGATTGCTTGGATGAGCTCATTAGCTTATCCAGAAATTTCATTTCATTGTTCTTTTACTCCGTATTATTTACAACGGATCTTGATAGAAATCAAATTAGCATTAAGGTGTTCATTACTTAATCATATATACCAATAAAATACTATCGTATTTGGATTACAAACATTAAGATTACATTGACTTTAATTATTTAAAAAATTAATCATATTGTAGTGATCAAATTGTATTCAACCAAATCATAATGATTTTCATTAAATCGGAAACATTTCATATAAGTTTTTTTGAAGCACCTTTCATTTAAGTTTAGAAAATTGAGATCAAACGAGTTTAATTTAGCCAAATCTCATCTTGTACAATAATTATATTTGTCAAGTCTATTGTTTATTATCATTAGTTATTAATAATTATTTTGATATTATTATTTTTCTATTAATAAAAATGATATCCTTCCACCTCAAAAAAGTTTTTCTTGGATCTCCCAACACGATGAAAGAGATCGAGATCATTGTTATTACTTAGGTGTTAAGAGAGGGATGAAAATAAAAAAATGAGGTGTACTAATAGAATAGAAAATGATATTGTAACTTATTATTGAGTTTTATGCATACATAAGATTGTAGTTTACTTATCAAACTCATAAAAATGTTCAATAATCAATCTTGATTCTTTTTTGTGAGATGAAGACAATATGTATTTTTATCTCAATTATCATTAATAATAACTCCTGTATTATCATTATTATTCTATTACAATTTACAATAACTCGTTGGCATTTGATTTAGCTCAATAGTCAAAAAGAAGTTAGAAAAAATCTTGATCTATACATTATTCTTAGTTGTCTGTGTGCACAGACAATTCATTAAAAAAATACATAATTTATTTAAAAGGGTATGAAAATGTTTCATCATCATTTTCATTTACCCCAGTGCCGCAAAGGCTCCCACCTACGGTGGGGTAAGGGGTGGTCGGATGTACGCAGTCTTACCCCTGTACTAAAGCACAGAGAGATTGTTTCCGGATGACCCATAGTGAAAATCCCGTCCAAAATTGCATGGACTGACTGCTGCTTCATAACAAAGAAGCGCAGACAGTTTAGTGAGCCATTTTGCTTTATTCCATCATAATCTCAGGCCAAAAAATCATGAATCTTTGGCTCCATTTCAAATGATGGAAACGGTATGAAAATGTTTATGTAAAAAAAATCCATGTGTCCGCAAAGCACGGCCCAAGAAGTAAACCCAAAATGAGAACTATTCAGATTAGAGTTTGAAAGGACAGGTCGAATCCTTCTCTTAAATACACGCAGGTTTCGTTGCAGACACTAGATAAACTGATAAACCCAAAGAATGATCATAACAACCATTTGTGATCCTCATGAACGTCTACTATCTAACTTTCTTCTAATGCTCATTGAAAACCCACACGTACAACATAAGTTAATGTGTGCATTTTCAATGGATAAAGCTCTACAAATGAGTTCAACTTATATAACCGAGTCTTACCGTCTTACGGTTTAAAAGCAAGTCCATAGAATGTATGATAAAAGTTCAACCCCTTAACCGCTTAATTCAGGGTGCAGTTGGGGGGGAACTCTTTTAAGGATCAAGGCGATAAAAGATTTTAAAAGTAGCACTTCCTTGTAGGGATAAAATGCATACATATCAATAGATCTATATTCTCAAAAGAATGTCTTGTTTTGACTAAAATCTACCGTGTATAGTGTACATCAATATTTCCAATGCAACAATGTATAAATGCAACAAGCCATCAACAATCCCTAGCTTGCCATCAAATTACAATATTCTCTTTGATCTATAATGCTACAAGCCGCAGTTTGCAAATTTAATCAATCAATATGAGAACTCATGTCCCCTGAGTGATATATACTTTTTCACCCAAATAGAGATGTCCTCTAAGCAAGCCTGGGCTTGTGGTGTCTTTAACAGGACATCAAGGGTAGCAAACTCATGGACCGCGTCCTTATAATCAAGAAGAGGAGCATCCACATAAACTTTCCTAAGCTCCTCTGAGTATGCGATTGCCCTATCCCGCATCCAATCATGTTCAGCGACCACTGTGAGTGTCGGGGGCATATTCCTTAGGGCAACATCCCCTCCTCTTATGGGGACAAGAGGGTTGGCAGCCGGATGGTCCAAACAAAACTCTTCTTCTGGTAAGAAAAGTTTCCATGCGAGTAGGGACATGGTTTTATCGTAGAGGTAAGAATTGGCCAATTTGATCTCTGAACGTGTTGGGGTGTTTCCAATGAAGAAAGGGTACAAAAGGACTTGAGCAACCAACTTCACAGGATCCAAATGTTTCCTGGAATCAATGGCATATCTTGTGACGTAGTTTGCAATGTTAGCCCCACTGCTCACTCCAAGGACAACGCACCTTCAATATAAACTGCTTTAAGTGGGTTGATCTAAGTAGCTAATGATACACAATACAATCAGAACAGAAATCTTTTATATCACTATATTTGCAATTGTTTTGTCTACAAATGGCATATTGTTACTGTTCAGGATTAAGTTAACTCCTTTTCAGCAGAAAATCAATCCGGAATCAAACTCCAGAGGCATTACGTAGAGCAGTTTGGTAAACACCTCATTCGGCTTATCAGCCATAATTTCCACAAGCACTAACTTGTTTGAGTGTGTCACTTTAATTGGCTTATAATGAAAAGTAGTTTCGGACTTTCTCTTCTTGCAAAATGACTGAAATTAAAGAAACTGACATTACTAACTTTATCCAAAAGACTACAAGTATATATTTCATTTCATTTACGATTTGTTTTTATAATTCAGTATTTTTACCCACAAGTTCCAGATAAAGCCATTTTAAATCTGCCAAACGGGATATTAGTTCACAAACAAAGGGCTAATGGTGAATCAATTGACCAGGATCTCAATTCATTGCAGGTAAACCAGAAGGATCATATTTGAAACAAAAAATGGAGACATTTTAGAGTAACTTGTTCTTCAAAATACACATGAAAACTAGGAATAATAAATTTTGGAGTGACTATTCTTCAGAATACACCAAATGGGATCTTTTCCAAAACATTTTACAAATTGCTAGTCGGCACTTCATTAATTCATTGCTAATGAAATTCACTATACTTTCAAAACAATTCTACTTTTAAATAATACCATAGATGCGATGGGATCATGGGACAATGAACTAAATGAACCAGAAATGATTCAAGATAAAAGAAAAGGTGAATATAGTTAAAGAAAAGTACTACAGAAAACAAAACAAAAAAAGAGTTGATTGATCATACCTATAATGGTCAGCATGGGCAGCTAACCAAGGTTCAACCATGGAAGAACCAAAACCATCAACAATTTGCCTTCTCCTTCCATCTTCACCACCCACCGGCCTCCCATTCACAAATGACCTGCTACACTCAGCTAAATTCGCCTGTTTCGCCAGCCAATTCAACGCCTTCACTCCATCATCAAAAGCAGCCGGATAACGGCTCTCAGGTGCCAACCTGTATCCAACTGCCACAACAATGGCATCGCATGATCTGGCTATTCGTCTACAGAACAAATCATTAGCCACGGTGTCACTACCCCCACCCACCCAACCGCCACCGTGAAACTGCAATATCACCGGCAATTTCCTGCAGTTTTTCCCGTTTTTATCCGGCAAATACCCTCCATATCCTCCATTTTCTGAAAAAATCGGACTCTTGTCATTCCTGGAACTCACTTTCACCGACGGAACCCTAACTTTGAGCTTAGGGATCGCGGCAGGCGAGGCAACGGCGGAATCAGGGAGGAAAATTCTGAGAGAGAGAGAAGTGGAGGGATCGATGTGGAGATCCTTAGTAGCGACGCCGTCGTCGCCGAAGCTGGGGTTGACGGCGGCGATTGTCTCGTCAGGGCGTGTAACGACGCCGTATGTACGATCCGTATCGTGGCTGATCGGAGACTCGATCAATGTCTGCAGTCGGCGTTTAAGGAGGAATTTGAACAAGACGCTATACAATTTCACTGTCACGCTAGGCATCTCTGATACGCATTACATCAGGACTTGCAAACATAGATATACATATATCAATACAAACATGAACTGCGTGTGATATAAGTATTACATGGAAAAATTAGGTGCTTTGAGTTCGAATAAGAAGAGTGGAAGATTCAAATCTCTGAATTTTCAGATGGAGTTCGAAGCCTGGGTTTGTGTTTGAATTGTTGTTCTTTTCAATCGTCTTGATGCCAGGGGAAAATGGCGCGGTCTACGCCAACACGTCAGCGCTGTTGGAGGTGGACTGGAAACACCATTGTCTGCTTCGCAGCCTTCTTCCAAAACACGTTTACAATTTTTATTGCCTTTGTAATTTTGTTTCTTTATTTTTCACTCCTTTCAAGTCCGATTTCTTACAAAATATTGCTACAAAATATTCTCTCTAATAGTAGTGTCATACTCTTTTGGGATGTTTTTTTATTTTTTCTCGCCTTTTCCGAAATAAATGTCCTTCTTTTTCAAAATGGATGTCCCAAAATAATTGTCTTACTTTGAAACTTTCCTTATTTGGTAAACAAATCTATACAAAACAATGTCAAACAGTGTCAAACAGTGTCGCTACAGTATCAAACATTGTCGCTACAGTGTGCAGTCAACTTCATTTTCTTAATCTGTGTGAAGGTCAAAGTAGGACAATTATTTCGGGACGGAGGGAGTATGTTTTTTCGGAAACATACTCCGTATATGTTACCACCAGTTATACAATGGGCACCGTATCCAACCTATTCTAAATGAGTATTAATGTATTTTTAGTGAGTATCAAACATATTCTATTGAATACGAAGTATTAGGAGTCTAATAATGAGCATCACGATCTCTGCTTCATATCTTCTTATTCATTTTCTGTTTCTTATTTTTTCTTTTATGAAAACTTATTTAATAATAAGGATGGACAAAAATATTGAACCGGCATGATACCAAACCGGACCGATATGGAACCTGATAGAGTATATAATTCTAGAGAGAAGTGAGAGCTAGAGAGAGAGTGAGTCATTAATATTTCTCAACCCCCTATAACTACCCCTAGGGGGCTATTTATAGGGGTAGATATGGATTTGGGCTCCTAGACTTGGACATAGGAACCCATTACAATAATGCCTCTTTTCAGCATAATAGAGTCACTAATGGGCTGAGTACATAGTTTATTTGACTAAGTATGGAAATACAATCTGCTGGAACTTATTTGCCGATGCGGGTGCCAGATGCAGGTGCCAGGCTGATGCGGGTGCCAGGCCGAAGGGCTACCAGACCGATGGGAGACCCACTTCTGCCTTGGGCTCTTGGGCCGTGATCTGAGCACTTTTGGTTTTGGTCGATGGGGTGCAATCTGGCCGATCCGGCGCTACGCGGTAATGGTCTTCGGTGGTCAATCTTCTGAGTATGTGGGCTACGAGGTCTGGGCTCATATACTCTATCAGTACCAGACCGAAAAGGGGGTTTAAAACGGATCTCAAATGTTTTGTCCAGAACCGGACCGGTCCGGTCCTAAACAATGACATGACCAGTTCTCATAAAATGAGAACCGGTACTAGACCGAAGTATGGTTTAATTATTTAAATTTACATTTATAACATTACTTTGACTGGTGCCTTCACACTTCACCGTCTTTGCTAGTTCATAGGAAGTCTGGAACCGGTCCAATGTATGGTTTAATTATTTAAATTTGTACTACTATAGTTATCTAAAATTTATTAATTATGTTATATGAAAATTGATAAATTGTGTGGATTTTTGGAGGACGAACAAACTTAAACTTCCTCTTAAACACTTGGGAAAAGTGGCATTGTTTGGTATTGATATGGCATGGATTCACGCCGTTTGAAAAATGGAACCGTATCGAACGGATTTAGGTCTAAGACCGAACTGAACCGTTTCAAGAGTCACGGTACGAGTACGGGTTCGATAAAATATTGGACCGGACCGCACCGCGCTCACCCCTATTAAATTATATCTTTAATCAACTCCTATGAATTTCAATTTGCAAATCTATGTAATCTGTTACTTTTGAAATATGCATTGATATGACATTTTAAAAATGAGCATAATATCAGTACCAATTCAGCATATGTAACATACAAAGTAAGCATTGATATGAAAATCGTAAGTTTTGTTAGTTGAGCATTAAGACATTTTAATTGAATATCAAATATCCTCTATTGAGTATTAGAATCATTTGATCGAGAATCATGATCTCTGCTCTCATGTATATAATCAAGTTCCTATGTGAATCTATGGTGTTTTTGGAGTATGCATTGATACGTCATTTTAAAACGAGCATATCATCAGTACCAAATGGTCATACATAACTTACAAAATGAGTATCGAAAAATTCAAATGGGCATACATAACTTACAAAATGTGTATCGAAATATTCAAAAAATCACTTGTGTATGTTCATTCCCTTTAGATGTATACTGATTTGAGTTTATTATAAAACTCATTTGAGATCAATAGTAGCAAGGATTCATTAGCAACGAAGTAGACCCCCTTTGTCTCCGAAATCAAAATCTCAATAGGAAATATCTCGAACTCAAACTCAGTCTCCGACCTCCAACTTGTCGCGTAACTAGAAATCATCAATCACCGGCTCAACTTGTCATCTCTCAGTTTCTTCTTCTCACAGCAAAGGCCAACAACGACGATCTCAGGTGCATACGATCTTCAGAATCAATGGCGGCGACATCATCTCAATTTTCGACGGCGCCAACGGTAACCTAATTATCGGCGATTGTCCCCCTGAACCTCGAACGATGGCAGTGAATTCCACGAAGAAAAAGATCGGCGGAAAACCCCCTGAGAATAACATACGCACGTTTCAGAAGTTTGGAAAGAGAGCATCATTGAAATGTTAAAGTTCTTTCTTATCACAAAAATATTTGGTTGTACCATGCTCAAGGTACGGTTGATTGTACCTTTATTACTCTCACTTTCATTACTCTTACCTTTCTTACTTTTTACAAAGTACTTTCTATTTCTTACTTTTTCATTACTTTTCTCTTATCAATACTCTTTCACACTTTTTCATTTACTCGACACCCTCTATGTTATTCATATTTTTTTCTTCTTAAAAACATGAAAAACTTAAGATCACAGAGAAGGAAATGAGTATAATTTTTTTATTTCATATGTGTAGTCAATTAATGCTGAAAAGGTAATGTTGAAGTAATTTTTGCATATTTGTGGAAGAAATACTTTACTTTTGGCATATAATATTGTACGTACTATTTGTTTTACTCATAAAGTAAATATGAGTTTCATACTTTCATGTATAATATAACTCGGTCATATATAAATTCGGCATATTACCAAATCATGATTTTTGTATAATGATGTGGTATAAAAATATATTATAATTAATCACACACATATTGCTCTAAAATAACAAATTTAGTAGTATAAAAATCAGAGTTCTGATTTTTGTGATTTTTGTACAACTACACATAAGCGAACAAATGAGACACCACATATTCACATGATCCATCATAGCTCAAGCAGTTAAAATCTTAACGTAATTCTGACAACCAAACTCATGTATGTGATCATAAACATGCTTGTTCTTGTATGGATACCTGCACCGAACTATTTCAATCAAAATGGAGAAAAATGCATTGACCGGGTAACAAGTATGGGGTGACGAATACCCGGATTATTTTTACAGGTAACGAGGCGGTTAAAGTCAATGTTAGTTTTTAGGATATGGAAGATAATAATAAATAATGCCGCACTTTCCATAGAAACAATTTGATGTTAAACTTTTGTTTAGGATGTCAAGCATGCTTGAAAGAGAAAACCTCATCGGAAGAGTCTCGAACAAGTGAGGTAGAATGACTATATAACCTTACTTTATTGCACTGTTCATTCATTTACTTTTGTTCTTCATAAAAAGGAAGGGTATAAATGGTAATCTACTTTAATTTCCTTACAAGGATACAAGACCATCATTTTGGGACAACCCAAATAGGAAACACAGAACCATCATTTTGGGATGGAAGAAGTACTACTTACCACAAGTGATAACAATTCCTTATAAAATAGCATCATCTTAGACGCGAAAAAACAGGAAAGCAGACTATTCAATTCCCTTTCCTTTTTAACAACGCATCTTCCCTGCAAACTTTTCTCTAACAAAAAGCTTTCAACAACAATAAAACACACAAAATAAAAAATAAAGAAAACCATTATCAGAAAGAATAAAAAAGTTCAAGAAAATCCCATCCTAGGCACAAGAACCGGTTCGTTGCTTGTAGCATTCTTGGCTGCAAGTTCTTCTAGACGTTTCCATCTGGCTTCACGCCTTGACCGCACATTGTTCTCCTTTGACTCTTCTTCCTCGAAATTGTGCAAACACTCTTTTAAGAGATCAGGGTCGAGATCATAGAAGACCTTTCTAATGTTGAGCGATAAACAATGGACGGCCTGGTTCCAGTGGCTTCTGGCATTTTTCTCAAGTGCAGGGAAGATGATAGGGAGGATTACCTTCCTGTTTTGTTTTATTAGATTCTCGATGTGATCATTGTTCCATAAGAATAGGGCCCTCTCTGCCACCTGTATCAAAGATCATATAAAATTAGTCTTTAGGATCATATTCATTAAGTTGGTACCTTCGCAAACCTAAGAAACATGATGATGATGAAAAATTACCTCTACCCCACCTAGTATGCGGTATACTAATGACAGTTAATTTGCTTATTTTGGGTAAAGAACAATGCCTTATATAAGCTTAACCTGACTTGACTTTACATGTTTCCGCACGAAGGTGGCTTGTTGAGCATTTCGGAGGGGAGGGGAAGAAAGTGGAGGAGTGATGTGTATTTAGTTTTGGGAGTTCAGGAGAAGAGAAGGGAAATGGAAGAGCTATCCTATCTTTTCATATCTTAATTCTCCATTTTGGGGGCATCTAGGGAGTGGTTTTATACTACTGTATTAACTTATTATTTTCTTTTAATTACAAAACTTGTCTACATTAATATTGTTATACATTTAAAATGTTACATAAGAACCATATATAAGAGTCTTTAGAATCATATTCATTAAGTTAGTACCTTCACAAACCTAAGAAACATGATCAGGATGAAAAGTTACATATACCCTACCCAGTACACGGTATATTAATGACAGTTAATTCGCTCATTTTGGGTAAAGAAATTATCCCAATCAAAAGAGTAATACTTCAAGTTCCATATTAAATGGTCAAACTAGTCAGAGTAGAACAATGCCTTATATAAGCTTGACCTGACTTGACTTTTTTCTGCACGAAGGCGGCTTGTTGTGAACATTTAAATTCAGAAGTTCTTTTGCTCATTGCAAAGGCTTACTAA